CGTGCCCAGACTTAGATGTGAATGGAGCATGACACAGCCTATTGCAATAGGAAGAACTCTCCAGTCTGTGGACGCAAGAAACGTCAAAACCTGTAGAGAATTGTCATGCATTTATTGGAGCCAAAACTGACGACAGACGCTGGGAAGAGAGATCTCAGATTCTGCCGAGAATAACAGTGTTGCAGCTTCTTCTGTGCATTTGGAACTAAGGAGAAGACCCCAGGGAAGATTCCATGGAGGTGGGAGAAAGCAAGGCCAAGGTGGGACTGGAGTACAGAACAGTTAACAAGATTATGTGCTTTCTTCTGGGTGGTTCTGCCTTCTTCGGTGGATCTCAAAGGTGTGTTAACCCGGATGCACAAGAGCAATGGGCCTGGGGCTTGTCTGCTCACCATGACCTGCCCAGCTAGGAGTTTATGATTTATTACAGCACCCCTTTTTCATCCACAAAGATAGTTGCAAGTATCTCAAAATCAAACAGAAAAGGGGTTTTCTTTTATGAGGTTCGCATCTAGTGCCCCAGTTCCCGCTTTTGCAAGAAAAATGCCTTCATCTCTTCAAATACTTCTCACCCATTTATTTACTTCCCCATTAAGAGCCTATGATGTGCATGTGACGTAACAAAGGCTAAGGCACTGGGCCTGTCCACAAAGTGTGCACACAGAGTATACAGGCTCTGGCCGGGTAGCCCAGTTGGTTAGAGCATCATCCTGATACGTCGAGGTTGCAGTTCAATTCCCAGTCAGGGCACATACAAGTATCAACCAATGAATGCATAAATAAACGGAACAAAAAAATCGATGTTTCTCTCTCTCCCTCTCCCTTCCTCTCTCTAAAAAAAACAAAAAGTCAACCAATACAAATAAAGTATACAGATACTGTATTATAAGGCTATACATCTGAAATATATAGTGCTATTAGCCAATGTTACCCTAATAAATTTAATTTTAAAATACTGTCTTAACCCTGGCCGGTTTGGTTCAGCCGTTAGAGTGCCGGTCTGCAGACCAAAGAGTCCCGTGTTCGATTCCGGCCAAGGGCACGTACCTCAGTTGCAGTTTGTCCCTGGCCCCAGGTGGGGTCGTGTGGGTGGCGACCTATTGATGTGACTCTCTCACATAGATGTTTCTCTCTCTCTCTTTCTTCCTCCCTCCTGCTCTATCTGAAGATATATGGAAAAATATCCTCGGGTGAGGATTAAAATAAAATAAAATACTGTCTTAAAAGGGTAAAATAAAGACTGTCTTCCATATACAAAATGACCATGTCAAAGATTTTATTTAATTCATTAATGGATGAGAGAATCAGTAGATTTTTTTTGTTGTTTTTTTTTTGTTTTGTTTTTTATTGGTTTCCAGGAAGTTTTTGATTTCTTCCTTGATCTCCTCAGTAACCCATTTGTTTTTTTTGTTTTTTTTTATCCTCACCCGAGGACATTTTTCCATTTTTTGTTCAGATAGAGCGGGAGGGAGAGAGAGGAAGAGAGAGAGAGAGAGAAACATCGACGTGAAGGAACACATCGAGTGGCTGCCACCCGCACGACCAGCCAGGGCCAGGGACAAACTGCAACCAAGGTACGTGCCCTTAGCGGGAACTGAACCCGGGTCTCTCTGTACCGCAGGCCGACGCTTTAACCACTGAGCCAAACCGGCCAGGGCAGTAGATGTTTTTTAAAAAAATAATTCAAGCCTTGGTCTGTGTGGCTCAGTTGGTTAAGCATCACCCGGGGCACTGGAAAGTTACCAGTTCGATTTCCAGTCAGGGCACAAACCCAGGTTGTGGGTCCAGTTCTGAGGCAACCAATCAGTGTTTCTCTCTCAAATCAACTTTTAAAATATTTTAATAATAATAATAATTCAAAGGAGGATCTAAAAAACAGACCATTAGGAATGCAGAACTGAAATTTGTTAATAGATACAACACTGAGAGAGGCTGACCACACTTGCACCAGACAAAATACATTTGCATATATGTAGAAAAGACTTATTTGCATCACTATCCATTTTCTACAACTTACAGAGTGATAAATAGTTTGAAAACTATAAAGGCACAGACCATTACAGACCTGATCCCCCTCTACTCCCCCCAAAATTCCATAGGACACTCAGCAATCTTCTTTTTTTCCCCAAAGACTTTTAAGTTTTTCCTGACAAGTCATTATTTTGCAGAAAAATCCTGAATATCAAATCTCAAACCATCCTTCAAGATCAACTTAAATGCCACTTTCTCCACAGATCATTATCTACACTTCCTTTCTCAGGCTAAAAGATAATTTTCAAAAAAGGTAAAATTAAAAATTATGACTCTCATAGAGATATAAAATGAATGCATTTTAAAGATTTCATTTAACTCATTAATTCAATGAGTTAGTTAAGCAGATGTTATAACTGGTCCAAAGCAGAAATCAAAGAAGCTCACATTTATATGAAGTAAAGAATATTGAAATGGATGGGCAAATAGACTCACCTGGCTTCTCCAGTGGGGTGAGGGGTCCCTCCATTGGACAGGATTAATTTGCATAATCTATAGATAATTCTTTTTGCATCGCTACAGTTATCTACAACTTAGGGTTGTAAAATAATTCAAAAGCAATAAAAGGCTAGAATCAGATAGCTTCAGCGTTATTGACATTTTAGACCAGACAGTTCTTTGGTCCAGTTGTGAGGAACTGTCCCAGGCATCATAAGCATCCCTGGCTTCTACCCAAAAGAGGCCAGTAGCATCCCCCACTCATGACCATAACAAATGTCTCTGACATTGCCAATGTACCCTGGGTGGGGTAGAAAGGACAAATTTGCCTGCAGTAAAAAAAAAAAATCACTGATCTAAACAATGCATAGTTTTCCATGAAAGCACACATTCTTCCATGTGAGTGTAGGGAAGGGAAGGAGGAATGCATTCTTTGACACGCGTCCATTTCTCTTGTGTTTGAGCTGAGAATCTCATGGTATTGCAACCAGAACCCAAGTTCTGCTGCCTGCCGCCACAAACATCACACTCGTGAGACAGATGCTGATGAAAAAGGAAAGAGGCTAATTCAAGTGCAAGTGCCAGTATCTCAAGGAAATGGGGGACTCGTGTCACAAACCCCATTTCAGTATCTCAGTGCAGGCAGAGGTTTTTCATAAAGAGGGAGAGAGAAAGCAGAACGAAGAAATCAAGGGGCCCTGGCTGGTTTGGCTCACCAGTTAGAGCGTCGACCTGAGGACCAATGAGTCACAGGTTCAATTCCAGTCAAGGGCACATACCTCGGTTACAGTTTGTCCCCAGCCCTGGTTGGGTCATTCAGGAATCAACCAATTGGTGTATCTCGCTCACATCAGTGCTTCCCACCCCCCCACACCCCCCCGCCCTCCCACTCTATCTGAAAATAAATGGAAAAATATCCTCTGGTGAGGATTTAAAAAAAGAAAAAAGAAAAAACACAGAAATCAAGGGGACGGGATTGAAAAGTTCTGTACGTGCAGGCCAGCACAGTCCATTTTGATAAGGATCTCAACACTGGTCAAGTGATGGTCTGGTGCGCATTATCCTGGTTTTACGCCATCCTGGCTCTATGGTTGAGGTTCAGCAAATCTCCCAGAACTGGGATGACAGAAGATCAGAGTCTTATCCTCTGAAGTTAGTTCCTAGGATTCTTTACAAACATGCTGTTTAGCCACAAGCTACATGTTAGTCAGAGTCAGCACTTACAGATACAATGTCAAAAGAATGATGGGTGGGGCTACAGTTTCCCATTGTTACAGTATCTCCCAACAGAAGAGTCACAATATTGACTCAGTCTTCCCAGTTAAATGTGAGTTTCAGATGGACAAGGAAGGATCTTTTGGCATAAGTATGCCCCGAGCAGTATTTGAAGCATACGCTTGAAGGGGTTCAGAACCTCCCCAGGATGTGCTACTTTGGCATGTGAATTACTTTGAGCTGAAGGCAATGGAGCCCTGGGAAACTTTACCTCTCCCTCAAAGAATCTGAGTTAGGGGCCTTGTCCATAATAAAAGATTATCTGAGATAACCTTTCTGACCTAACCAAAGGGCAGGGAGAACCACTAATTACTCACCATCTGCTCTTCCTGAAAATGCCCTTTCTCCCCTCTGACGCCCCAGACACCTCACCTCACCCTTAGCTCAGAATACCAGAGATGCCTCATTTTCCCTGTCTGTCCCTGAACCGCGCCTGTAGGTGAGGTTTCCATGTGTATGTCTGTAGTTAAATTTGGCTATTTCTCTTGTTAATCTGTCTCATGTCTGTGTAGTTATTAGACCAGTAGAAGAGTATAGAAAGGTAGAGGAAAGTTACTTCCCACCCCACATTTATACTTAAACATTACTGGTGTTTATTTGAAATTAAGATTGAACTGGGAGATTGTGTTTTTATTTGCTAGAAGTGTAGCATCCTGATTACAACAGGCCTTGGTGACCGATCCTTGTTCTGCCTGTGACTAGCTGTGTCACATTGAATTATGTCACTGAACCTCTCTGATGCTCGGTCATCGCATCTGTAAAATGGGGGCACTAGCAGGAGGACAACTCTCTTCCCCACTGGTTGGGAGGACTAATGAGATCACCGATGCATAGCAGTTAGGACAGTAGCACAGAGTTGGGGCCCAACTGAGGGCAGCTGATGTCGTCTCCCTGACTGGGCTCCCTGGCCTGCTGACTCACGGGGTGTTTCCCGGAGCCACAGCTGCCCCGGCCTCGGGATTTGTCCGGGCTTCCTCCCCAGGGGCGGGAAAGCGGCCTCGGGCTTGGGCGTGCGTCCCAACTCTTTCCGCCCGAGCCCCAGCGTCGGCGCCGGCGGCCGGGCCATCCCGGGACCGTCCGCAGGTGGCAGCACCAGCCGGGCGCTCTGCAGGCGGCGTCCCGGCCGGACGCCGAGCAGGCCGGGAGCGGCCAGGCCACACCCCGCCGGGCGGAGGGCGCTTCCCGGCTGGTGAATCACCGCCCGCAGCGGAGCCGCAGTCCCGTTGCCGAGCTCCTGCGGGCGCCCCGGCCGAGACCGCCGCCTCGCTCCCCGGCAGCCGCGCCATGGCAGGCATCGCGGCCAAGCTGGCCAAGGACCGGGAGGCGGCCGCGGGGCTGGGCTCGCACGAGCGGGCCGTCAAGTACCTCAACCAGGACTACGGGGCGCTGCGGGACCAGTGCCTGGAGGCCGGGGTGCTCTTCCAGGACCCCTCCTTCCCCGCCATGCCGTCCTCCCTGGGCTTCAAGGAGCTGGGACCCTACTCCAGCAAGACGCAGGGCATCGAGTGGAAGCGGCCCACGGTAGGAAGCGCGGCGGGCAGCGGGGCGGGGCGGGTGCGGGCCGGCGGCGCGGGTGCCCAGGCTGCGGGGCCGGAGAGGGCCGGGCGGGGGCGCAGCGAGCGAGCCCGCACCGCCTGGCCCGCAGCCCGCAGCCCAGATCGCGCGCATCCCCGGTGCTGCCCAGCCCGTTACCGGGTGGCCTGCGTCCACAGAGGGCACCTGTCCCCACTTCCACGCACGCTTTGGTGGACACTGCCCTCAAATCCCATTAGCAGGCCCGCCAGGGGAGCCCTTGACGGCCTTCACTAAAACGGAGGTGACCGAAGGGGGCCTAGGGACAACTTTTATGGGACCCCAGTGGGGAGATGGTGGGAGGCGGGGAGAAGGGTCTGGAGGAAAGGAGCTTGGGAGACAACATCTGACCAGGAAAAGTCAATCTCTAACTCGGGTGCTGATGACTTTAGGGAGGGGAAAGTCCACAGCCTGGCCCTTTTGTGACTAAGGATTGTCTCATGCCGTCCTGGTTAGGTTTAGCCAGAGTTTCTTGTTTATTTTAACAAATGGGAGCTGGTAATAAACAAAGACAGGGACATGCGGTCAGGAACAAGTTCCTGATCATTCCACCGGCCCAGAATCTCCCTGGAAACCTCAGGAGTCCCTCCAGGCTCCCTGGTCTCGATCCCCAGTGTCTGTCCTCTGCCCTGGCAGGCCTAGGCACAGCTTGCTCCCTTCTCTGGTTGTCTGTCCACCAGCTTCCAGGGCATCCCTGCTGGCTCCGCCTCCTGTGGGACCGAATCCTAACACAGCTTCCTGGCCAATCCAACCTCTGGATTCCTGTTATGAGAATAAGCATTCCTTTCCTGCTTCCACTCCTCGGAGCCCCCCAGGTCACCTTCTCTGTCACCCCAAACAGAGGCCAGGGGCAGCAGGTGCTTAGGATGTGCCGTAGCCCAGGACATGAGCACCTGAGTTCATTTCTTGCTAACCTGCCTGGTGACCCAGCCTGAGACATTCAACCTCTTTGCCTCCATGTCTTCACCTAAGAAGAGGTGATGGCTACATAGTTTCCTCTCTCACTGACTCTCAGACCCAGCTTCTCAAAGGCACCCCTCTCTGCTGCCTTCTCACCTGCCAGGGACGCTCTCTCCGGGTTTTCTGGAGTCTGACTCACTCTGATTCTTTGGGATGTAGTCAGATGTCCCCGCCCCGAAGTCATGTTTCCTGACCCGTCTTAGCAGCCCCCTCCCCAACGTTTTATGCTTTATCACAAACCCTGCTGATTTCCTTCCTAACATTTTTACAATCTACAAATATAATTACATATACTTGTTTGTACTCTCTCTGAACCGCAGGCACCATGTGTTATACTCATCAGTATATCCTCAGTGCCTACAGCGTCAGTGCTTTCCACACTATGCATTCATTCATTCCGAGATATTTATTGATATTATATGCCAGGCACTGTCTTAAACTCCTGTGAACAAAAAGATAGTGACGATGTGTAGAACGACTGAATGAACGCAGGACTGTAACAAGCCTCAAAGGAAGTTACAGTTATAAAAGTGATAAACAAGACTGTATTCACCTTACATTTGTGCAGTACTTTACGGTTTACAAAGTGAGTCTGCACACTCGTCTATTTATTCTTCCACTCATTCAATAAGCATTTATTGAACACCTACTCTATGCCGAACACAGCACATACCGTTTCTGCCTCTAAACTATTAGCAACTCTCACTGTATATAAACGATATGCTGTGCCTTCTCGCAGTGCAGGTGGTTTTACGAGGGGCCAGTGAAGGGAGTCAGGTCACCCAGTAATGGAAATGCCTGTAGGGCTTCTAGAAGGGAAGCAGATCTGGAACCGTGTGGGAGAGGCTGTGCACTGAACAACCAAGGGACAGTGTGGCCACTATGTTCCCATTCAGCAGGTGAAGGACATGGAAAGATGAAATATTTGCTCGAACGGTTGTCCGGGGCAGAGACTGTGCGCAGCCTGTGGGTGTTTGGAGCGCACGGGCCCCAAAGCCCGGTCTGCCCCGGGCCTGCCTTCTCAGACACTGCCGTGGTTGGGGTCGGGCCAGGGAAACAAAACCGTGTCCACCGGCTGGGACGTTAGCAAGTCATTGGTGACTTCACAGAGCATTGCGGTGGGATAGAATTTCATCCAGGTAGAAGCCAGATTATTATAGGCTCCGGAGGAGGGCACCGGAAATGAAGGAAGTGGTCCCCGCGTGTCAGAAGGGCGCCTGTGGGAAGAGAGAGAGGAACTGTGGGAAGGAGAGCGGGACCTGGGTTTGGAGGCCGTTCCTTCAGATGAGCAGCTGGGCCGGGTTATGTTGAGTCACTGGAGAGGAAGGGACCAAAGACAAAGGCAGGGAGGAGATAATGAAACAGGGCCCCCGAGGAAGTAAAAGTGGGGGTGGGGGGTTGCACCATGTCAGAGAGGGGTGTCCTGACGCTGGAGACAGAGGGTCCTGGGGAGCGAGAGGGGGCTGGAGGGAAATGGCTCGAGTCACCGATGCAGGGGCAGGGTGAGGAGAAAGCTGGCCTGATGCAAGGATGCCACCAGTCAGGGCCGAGTGGGGACAGGTGGTGTTAGTCCCCGTCTGTTCCTGAGATAACCAAGCCTCAGAGAGGGTTGGGACTTGCTTGTTGTACTCAGCTGGCTGAATTCAGCCTCAAACCAGCATAAATTCAGGGATTATGATCAGCTTCTTCACTAATAATAATAATAATAATAATAATAGGTAACTTATGGAGTGTTTACCAAGGCACATTTACATAGTTATCTCATTTAACCCTCATAACAACCCTATGTGGTAGGTACACCTGTCATCACCGTCCCCATTTTACAGATGAGGAAACTGAGGCTTCAAGAGAAGTACCTTGCAGGATCATAGAGGCCATATAAGGAGTGGCCAGGCCAAGTCTCAAACGCAGGCTGTGTGAGTCCACAGTCCAAGCCCTCAGCCCCTTGCCTCGGACTGTTGCATCCACATTTAATTCCACGCCCTCCATGCTATGCGCACGGTTGAGTTTTCCAAAGCTTCTCTGAGCGCCAGTCTGAACTTGGCCTTTATGGAGAGGCTGCCGAAGATGTAGGCAAGTTTCTGAAACATAATGGAAAAATCCTTCTGGGCTAAGCGCTTGGCACGCTCAGTATTATCAACATGATTCTGGGGCTCCCAGCACCAAGCCCTGTCCACTCCATCAGCTGCGTAAGTGCTTGGCTGGCAGGCCTCGGGGAAAGCTGGCCCCACTTTCTCTTGTCCCTGTCATCTGCCCACAGAGCGCCCTGACAGGGAAGAGACAGCAGAGGAATGTGCTCAGCTGCGCATTGCAGCTCCAGGTCTCACCCAGGAAACGCTTCTGCTCGGTAGAGGGGCGAGGGCGTGGGGTGAGCTCCGACCTGGTTGCTCAGGCCCAGAGCAGCCCAGATTGATGCCTTCACTTCCTCTGTGGCTTTGGGTGGGGCTCTGCCGAATCAGGAAGCACCCAGAGGGCTGGTCCCATGAAGGGGCCTGAACGGTGCAGGGGTGGCTTCTCCCAGGCTGCTTGTGGGCGATCCTGAGGTTTTAACGCCCTTAGAGGTTTGCTGCTATTCAGTTGGGGCAGCGCAGGATCAGGAAGAGTAACGACTTGCACCGGGAAGCTCACAGCTACCCCAGCGCTGTCCGTAACCTGTGAGCAGCAACGCTCGAGACACGTCGCTTTATCACCTTAGCCTGCGTCCTCACCTGTCACACGGGGACCATGCCCGTCCTGCGTTCTGAGAGGGCCTCGGGAGAGACAGCACCGGGCACAGTGTCGATGTGCAGCAGGTTCACAGGACATGGGTGCTCGAGTACCCTGGCCCCACAGACGAACCCAGAAAGCTAGATTCGTTCCCAGCCCTCCAGACGGGTGTGAGTGTTAGGAAGACAGGGCTGCCCGTCAGCACCGCCAGACAGAGCACAGTTAGAACTGAAATGCGGAGTACGACTACTCTGGGACTCGGAATCGAAGGGAGGAGTGAGGGCTGGACTATGAAGGAGGGCTTCACGGAGGAGGTGGCAGTGAGTCTTGAAATATGGGCAGATGTCGGGAGGGGAGAAGAGGATGGGAAAGGGAGGAATCCATGCCAGCGAAACAGCTGACGTGCAGGGACAGAGGAGAAGGGCCAGCGTGGCAGGACAAGCAGCCCCAGCGTGTGGACGGGCTCCCCACCCTGCAGGAGGCTGGACTCCAGGCCAACGCGGCTGGGAGAGAGCGCGATGGTGCAGGCTCTGGGCGGGTTGGGCAATGACTCCTCAGCCAGGAGAGTCTCCCCCACCCATCGGGACCCATGAAGCAGGGGTCAGAAAAGGGCCCCACGGGGGTCTAACTATACCCTAGCGGGGAGGTGAGTGGGGAGAAGGGGTGTGATGCGCCCACTGGGAACCGAGGCACCCTCACTGCGAAAGCACATGCCTGGTGGGTTGACGGCGCTTTGTGGGTCTCGTCCCCAGGAGATCTGCGACGATCCCCAATTTATTGTTGGAGGAGCCACCCGCACAGACATCTGCCAAGGAGCCCTGGGTAAGTGATGGCAGCCAGAGCCAGCCTGGGGTGTTGTCTACAAGGCTGTGACTGGCAGGGGTGAGGGGTGATCTGGGGTTTCTCTCCCTTCCCAAGCAGCTTGGCGATTTCCTTTTCCAGAAGCTTCTGCGAATTTCTTGTCCCCTGAGGGCCTCGTGCTGAGGGACACACTTGCACAAATGTGCACTGGGCGAGCTGTTGAGGTTCAAAGATGCCCCCACTGGGGAACGGAGGGGCTGCCCCTCGGCCTCGGCACCTCCTGGGGCCAGTCTTACAGTAGCCCATGAAGCACTCGGGCTCTGGGCTGAGGGCCAGGTGGGAGGACACCCCAGGCCAGTGATGGCACTGAGACCTCAGTTTCTCTGGGGTGCAGGAACAGGGGATGGTGACTCAGTGTGCAGGAAGAGGAAACCCTGATGAGGGCTCACTGTTGAGAGGAAGTGAACTTAGGGGGTGTTCTCAGTATTTACGAGTCAAGTCACCATGGCACCGAGGCCCGGGGGCCAGCGCTCACTGTAGCAGAGGCAGCTGCCACGTTCATCTAAGTGGTTCACTGGGGTCGCTGACTTGTGAGAGTCTGAAACCGTTCTGGGAAGCCGAGCCCTGATTCCTCGCTGGACACAGAGCCTGCTGAGGGGGGGGGCCTGGGGTCTCAAATGGGACCCTGGGACCATCATTTAAGATTCTCATAGAGCCCTGGCCAGTTTGGCTCAGCGGTTGGAGCGTCGGCCTGCGGTACAGAGAGACCCGGGTTCGGTTCCCGCTGAGGGCACGTCCCTCGGTTGCAGTTTGTCCCTGGCCCTGGTTGGTTGTGCGGGTGGCAGCCACTCGATGTGTCCCTTCACGTCGATGTTTCTCTCTCTCTCTCTTCCTCTCTCTCCCTTCCGCTCTATCTGAACAAAAAATGGAAAAATGTCCTCGGGTGAGGATAAAAAAAAAAAAAGATTCTCATAGACTCCACCCTCAATATCCTGGACTCATAATAATACGGCTCGTGATGAACGGGAAACATGCTTCCTGCCATCAGCTTTCACTCACCACCCAACTAGTCCATCCGTCCCAAAGCTGATCACCTTGAAATGAGCCTGCAGGTTTCGATACTCAGAATAACAACAGCTAATGTTTACTGAGTATATACTATGTGCCAGACCCTAAGCTCTGACAGCAGAATCTCTGGTAATGTGATTACAGTTGACCCTTGAGTAACACAGGTTCGAACTGCGTGGGTCCGCTTATACATGGATTTTTCCAATAAATAGATATAGTACTATTTATGTATTTTCTCTTCCTTTTTAAATGTGTTCTTTTCTCTAGCTAACTTTATTGTAAGAATCCAGTATGTGACCCACACAACTTACAAAATATGTGTTAATAGACTGTTACCGGTGAGGCTTCTGGTCAACAGTGGGCTCTCAGCAGTCACCTTTGGGGGCAATCACAGTTATATGCAGCTTTTCAACTACACAGGGGTCAGTGTCCCTAATGCCTGAGTGATTCAAGGGTCAACTGTACTCCCTTTGACAGGTGAGGACACAGAGGTCCTGGGAGTAACTCATCTGAGGTCCTTACACCGCCGAAGTGGGCGCCGAGGGTACAAATGCGCAATCTGACTCCGGCCTGTGTGTTTAACCCCTGAGCTAGATTCCATAGAAGGGCCTAGAAAAGTTTCTCTGCCTAAAAGTCAGGGCAGCTGTGTGAGTCATCAGGGTGGGCACCGGGGCCCATGGGAAATGCGTCTCCGGGAGATCTGACCCAGGGCAAGGCTCAGCCTCTGCGCAGATTCCTGAGATGCCAGCACGCATACTCACCTGAGAACACACCTCCACTTCCCGCCTTCGCCACCCCCAGGAGGCAGAAGCCCGGGGTCCTTGGTGCCCAAGGTGGGTGCTCCTGGAAAGTTCACTTATCCAGCGGAGTTAGAGGTTAACAGGGCTGGGAGCTGATGTTGACCTTGACCAACCCTGGGGGCTTCACACCTGGGCTAAAGTCCACGCCTGCACTAAACATCCACTTCAAAGTTGAATGGCCTCGCCTGTGATGTGGCTCAGTGGTTGAGCATCGACCCCTGCACCAAGAGGTCGCCGGTTCCATTCCCGGCCAGGGCACATGCCCAGGTTATGGGCCTGATCCACAGTGTGGGGGGGCGGGTGCATGCAGGGGGCAGCCAATCGATGTTCTCTCTCATTGATGTTTCTCTCTCTCTCTCAAATCAATAAAGAAAAAAAATTTTTTTAATAAGTAAAGTTTAATGGCCTCTGAAGGCCAAGCTGCAAGTAACAAATACAGGCTTTGAGTCCTGTTTGAACCCTGCCAGGCCACCTGGGGAGGAGACAAGCTTCCACTCCTGGGTGGAGCTCCCCACGGTAGGCCCTAGTCAAAGAGACACCTGATGAAACGTAAGTCTTCTTAAAGCTTCTCAGTAACTGACCTGTCATTCCTGAGGTCTTTCTACACCCTCTGGGCCATTTGTTTTCTGGGCCTTTTCTTTTTGTTTTGTTTTGTTTTGTTTTGTTTTGTTTTGTTTTGTTTTGTTTCTTTATTTGTTTAATCCTCACCCAAGGATTTTTTTAAATTGGTTTGTGAGAGAGAGAGAGAGAAACATCGATCAGTTGCCTCCCATACACACCCTGACTGGGGATTGAACCTGCAACCTAGGCCTGTGCCCTGAGTGGGAATCGAACCCGAGATCTTTTGGTGCACAGGACAATGCTCCAACCAGCTGAGCCTCCTGGCCAGGGCCTGGCCTTTTCTTTTAGAGGGACCTGATTAGATTACAATCTGTGAAATGTGACTGAACTCACCCTGTTCTAACATCTGGGCACAGGGTGGTGACTATCACCAAGTCCCAGCAGGCTCAGGGGCCTTGCGGTGACCCCTGTCCGCGCAACCAGAGATATGAGCTGAGGCTCTGCTCTTAGTTGGGAGACTGTGGGCAAGTCATCACTTGAATTCTCGGTCTCTTCTAAATATTGGTGGCACGGTGACCTCAGAGATCCCCTACAGTGTGGCATCGAGCTGTTCTAAAGTCATTCCTTGAGCCCGATGCTGAGTGACACCTTGTGCTGGAGGGGCAGAGCACCTCAAGGTCAGGTTCAGCTCACGTATGGAACAATGACACACCTGTCACCTTAGACCAGTGTGCACTCAGCCTTTTCCAGTGCGTTAGCTCATGTCATCATTCCAACCGTTTTCTCTTTTTCTGATGTGAGAGAGAAACATTGATGGGCTGCCTCCTGCATGCCCCCCACTGGGAATCGAGCCTGCAACTCGGGCACGTGTCCTGACCCGGAATCAGACCGGGAATCGAACCGGAATCGCACTGGGACCCCTCAGTCCATGGGACGACACTCAATCCACTGAGCCACACCGGCCAGGCTCATCCCAACTGTTTTCACCCCCACTGTGAAGATAAGCAGACTGAGGCAGGGTGGGGTGGGTGGGCACGTGTAAGGCCACACAGCTAACAATTGCCCAAAGTAAGGACCCTGATCTGATTTGAAATCTCCCTGAGCCCTTTTCGTAAGCCCAGCCTCCCCGCGTTGCCGAGATGCAGTGATGAGGGAATGTGCAGGTGAAATTCTCTAAGGAAAATTCCTTTGCTTACCTGCCTTTTCCCCCCTGGGACTCAGTTCACCAGTGAGACTGGGCAGTGCTGTCCTTGGACGTACACATTCCCAACGCCCTGCTGACCGTCACAGCACTGCCAGGCAGTGGTTAGCGCTCCCCCCACCCCCTCTCCCAGAAGGCTCGAAGACTCACCGAATAATCCAGAGCACCTTGCAGAACGGCTCTGACAACGAGCCGCCTGCACTGCAGACCTGGAGTGGGCGAAGAAACTGCCATGTGGAGGAAGGGCCGGAAACCCAGGCGGGCCCTGCTGCCAACTGTGGCTCTGTAATCTCTGTCATGGCTGGCGACAACCTGTTCTTACAGGTGATTGCCACTTTGAAGGCCGCCAGGGGCCTAGAAAATTCCAAAGCTGGGCTCCTCTTACTTACCCTCAGTTTTCACTGGGCCCCTGCCGAGCTCTCTGCAGTCCCCAAGCCTCCACGGCCCCCACAGCTGCCCCCACCTGGTGCCCTCCAAGGCCCCTGGCTTCCTGGGTCAGGGCTGGTGGATGCCAAGCCCGTCAAAGCTGCTGAAACAGCACGGCCCCATTTCACTGTAACCTGGCAAATGTCTTTGAGGCCCCTCAGAAGTGGGTCACCCTGACTCTATCCCCAAGAATCACATGGGCCCCCAGAACACCTCTTGGGAAGTGTTGGACTCCAGGGTGCCCCTCCCCATAGACCAGCTCTGCAGAGGGTGAGGAGGGACAAGGCCAATGGGAACAGCCCACAGAAAGCATGACCTAAGGAAGTTTCCAGCTCCCTCCACCGCTTGCTTACGCGCCTGAGTGACTTTGGGCAGGTTACCCACCCTCCCTGGGCCTCCGTTTCCTCTTCTGTAAAACGGGAATAATGATAATACCCCCTTCCAGGCCTGGGGTGAAAAGTGAGATTAATATAGGTGAACACATTTGGCCAACCGTAGAGTCCTCAACAGATTCCCAAGGCCATGAGAATACCCGAGCTCAGGTGTGTGACAGGTCCCTTCGGTAAATCACAGACAAGAGAAAGGACAGGCGAGGATGGGAAAGGAGCCGAGCTGGGTGGAAAGCAGGTCCCTGCCTCTAAAGCTGAGCGTCCGAATGGAAGAGCCAGGGAGCGGGAGGCCAACCCGGTGCCTGTGAGTGGGTACCAGGTGGTCACACTCGGAACTGTGGGGGAGATGGAGGGAGGGCGTGATGCACTCTTCCGCCTAAACACTGAGTCTCTAAATGTTGTACGTGATTTTTAAATTAATTATGGTTTTTAAAAATCCTTTTATAGCCCTGGCCGGTTTGGCTCAGCAGTTGGAGCATCGGCCTGCGGTACAGAGAGACCCGGGTTCGGTTCCCGCTAAGGGCATGTACCTCAGTTGCAGTTTGCCCCCAGCCCTGGTTGGTCGTGCGGGTGGCA